TTAAATCGTAATGCAGATATTTTTTTCTTCCTTTTTTACTTTTTTTGTTTCTCTTTATAAGCCTAAGCAGTCAATGTAGTCCACTTGTTTGCTCTCGTAAATGTCTCTGTCAGGGTTTCTTTTGGTACACATTTTCATAAAATTTGGCTGATAAAACACTGTGTTCAAAGAGGTTTTGGCAGAGCTATGGTGGGCCGATACAAATTTTTTTTTTTTTGAGTGGGTGCATTTTTTTAGTTGCACTACCTGCACCGGTGTGAAAAAGTGCAATGTGGTGTACTTCTGGCATGTGTAAGAAAGTGCAAGGTGGTGTACTTCTGGCATGTGTATCGAGATAGAACCGTAAATACATTGCCCTACAATTTTCTTCACCAGTGCAGGTGTGGCTAAAAAGATGCACCTAGAGTCGGTGACAGGTCAAGAACGAAGTGGAAGCTCCTCCCACCCTTTTCCACTTCAGCCGAGCAAACGTTAAAGGGCAACTCCGGTCCATACTTTCGGTTTTGGGATTATGACTGTTTTTAGTCCAGTCAGCGTCCCTGAACTGCAAGGTGCAATTTTTTTCTCGTTATTGTGCGTAGTTCTACAGATATGGACCCCTCAAAGTTTTGTTTGGGGCGCGGCCAACAAACCCGAAACTAGCCACTCGAGGCTCCGGCAACGCTCGAAATCAACCGCTATGTGAACGTGACGTCAGGATCGTTCTCGTTCAACGAGCACGCACGCCGAGCGGCACCTACCTCTGTTGCGCTAGCCGTCTAAAGATAGGAGGTAAGCTGATTTTGTTTTAATTCTGTATACGTGGTAGTTATCCAGCATATGTAGCAAGGGCTAGTGCATATACCCAAAAGCTAGCGACTGGAAAACCCGTGAACTCGTACGATTCCGTACTCGGCGGCCGCCGCCATGCGTGCGCTATGCCGTACTCGTCGCTTGTATACCCAAAAGCTAGCGACTGGAAAACAAGTGAACTCGTTCGGTGCCGTACTCTGCGGCTGTCGCCGTGTGTGTGGTCTTCCGTACTCGTCGCTAGACCTAAATTGTCATCGGGGCTCTGTGGATGGAGCGGCGTTGCTCTACGCTGTGCTGCCAGTGACGTACAGTACTGGGGGCCCTCTCACTTTCGCGCTGCGGGTCAGTCCCAGACACGAAGCTTTGAGGCTCTACGGCGCGAGCTGCGGCGTCCGAACACACGAGTGCTGGGCTGTACACCTCTGTTTTTTCGTTCTTTTTTCCTCGGGCGCATAAAAGCCGAAGTCCAAAGTCCACTCATCGAACAGCGTTCACCCACACTTTCTTCAATTTCCGGTCCGTTCGAAACTTGTGAAGAAGCACCTCCGGGTTGCACAGCGGGTTGTTTGAGCAGCCCACAGCGCTACAAGTTGCGCTCGGCATCTTTCGAGGAACAGCTGGGCAGTCTTGGGCGCACCGAGTTGCTCGCTAAAACGAGTCTTGAAGTCCTCACAAGCAAATAAACAAAAATCTATACCGAAGCTACACGGGCTACAGATAAAAGCAACGGCTAAACATGCCAATCGCAAGCCGAAGTAGCTGTGGTAGTGGCTCAAAGAAGCGCACTACGCGCAACTCCTGGACCAGAGGAAAAAAAGAGAAGGATACTGACGTCACGGCCCAATGTTGCTTTGGCGATCGACAAACCGCTTGCCGCCCGCTAAGGAGCAGCGGCTTGCGGCGGGTCGCATTTTTATTATCGGCATTAGTTGAGAATGCGGCGTCCCACGGACGTAATATTTTGGCTGGGGTCGTAATTTGCAGAGCAGTCGCTTTCTTGTATGGGATCGCCATTGTCGCGGCTTGGTTTGATGGCAGAGTTATTGTTTTTTGGTGACACCATGTTCCAAAACTTCCTTGGGTTACCATTCAAAATAAACAGCGAGTCATAAAAACAAAACTTAGCCAATTTCAACTTTTTATTGTAGTTTTTAAGGGCAAAGTTATAAGCACCCAAAGCTTGAGGTGTTAACACGTTTAGCCTTTGCAAATAGCCTTTTCTTGTTATGCAAAAAGAGCAGCATTTTGGTGAACCATGGGTTATTTGAATCAGTGCATACTCAGGCTGTCGGAACAAACATATTTATAAGACTGTTCATTTTAGCTTTAAATAATGCCGGTTTCCTCTACTGATGGAAGAGGACAATATAAATGTAATGGTCAAAAAAGATTGTCAACCCATGATCTATTCATCTATAATCAGCCTCATTATAATCGCGAATGATCTTGGAAATAGAATGTTTGACGAGAACGGAGTGGCAAGTCGACATGTTGTAACCTATAATCACGGAGCCCGTCGCAGTATTGAATGGACTTGACAAGGTCCGGTGACGTAGTTAGTGCAGGGGTGGAACTCACGAAATGTCCTTGGGAACAGCCACGGGAGCAACTGAAACAGCTGTTTAGGAGCAGGTTGGGAGCAGCTAAAACTATGTTCTGGAGCAGGCTAGGAGCAGCTCAGATCAGTTTTCATTGCACTTCAGCTTGTGTCTTAGACACGCACGGGAGCAATTTCAATAGCGCTTAGCAGCACAGATGAACATGAGTGGTTAGGGACCTAGGTAGATGGGATAACAGTGTAAAAGGTGTGAAAACTTGAAACTTTGTGAGCCTCTATACTTTCCAGACTCGTACGTAACGTGTTACAAGATTACTTGTAATTGATTATTTTTACTGCAATTTTGTGACGCTTCGATTACTTCCTTTAAGGGGTAATGATCTTTTTAGTTGAACTAATTTTTTGCTGTAATCGATTACAAAATTACCCCCCATTACAATCTTCCTCATTTCTTTTTTTTTTTCTTTTTTTTTGGGGGGGGGAGGGAGTTGGAGTTATTCAGCTCCGGGCAACGGGCTTTTTTTTTTCGAAATTATTAAGCACGAGGCTGTGAGGATTAGTAGGCCACTTTACTATGCTTCTTTTTCGTGGGTACATTTTTATTTCTACACCGGAGACTACTTATGGGTATGAAAAATGACTTTATCTAGCCTCTTGTGAGGGATTAGGTGTGTGCCATCACTCACTCAGCTTTAAGCGCGAAACACACGTACAACCAAACCGTCCGATCCGACGTGCGGACTGCCGGAATGACCTTGGGGGGCGAGGGGGTTCCGCAGCATCGGAGAGCGTTGAAAACCCTTGCCTCCGACCGTCGTATTGCGCGGTCAGACGTCGGATCGGACGGTTTGGTTGTACGTGTGTTTCGCGCTTTAAGCAAAAACAGTCGAGGCTTTCTTTTTTTTTTTCTTTAACAACTGAGCGCGAGATTCCACGGATTATGCTGTCATAAAAAAAGTTTGAATGAAAAGTTACGTGGGAAGTAATTGCTTACTTTAGAGTAATTTTTCGATTACTTCTTTGAGGCTGTAATTGTAATTGTAGTCGGGTACTTTATACAGCAAAGTGATTGTAACTGTCATCGGTTACTTTTTCAGTGACGGGTACAAGTCTGATTATTTTCTTAGTGGCTTTCAGCTGCTCAAAATGCAAACCAGCTCTGCTTATCACACAACCCACACGTGCTCGACATAGTACTTATATGTGCGAACCACGTGACGTGCGTAAGCAACGGACGCGGAGTTGCACGGAGGAACAGGGCACCAAATTTCGAGTTTATCCTATTGTGCAACTGAATATCGCAGCAGCAGACTACGATTAACGAAGTTATCGTATTCGAAGTGACAAGCAGGTGCAAGGTTAAAGTACACCAAACAGATCTACCGATCGCGTGAAAGCTGCTGGCCGGCAAGGTTTCGGATCGGATCACGTTTCAGTTCTATCAAATCACGATTTATCTTGCGGGAACGCGGTTCCAACTTCTAACGATAAAGTACTAAAAGTTTGAGGACACATGCGAAGTAAAAAAACAATTTTTTTGTAAACAGACCAGATGGAAAAAGAATGTTATAAAATAAAATTAGAACGAAGAAAAAAAAATTTTAGAGCTACATTGACGGCACAAAATGATTTTGTAGTTGCGCCCGTGGGAGCCGCCGCAAGTCATGTGATAGACCTGTGCGCCGTCTCAAAGTCGACTCACAGTCACGCCGCCGCTGCACGCTGAGCGTGGTGCGCCGCCGTCAACTCATTTCTCCACACCGCCACCGCCGCGCAAGTTTGTCTACCCCGCAGCGCTGCCGCCGTCATCTGACCGGCACACAGGTCTATCACGTCTGCTTCCGCTTTTTCAGGAGCTTTCTTTGGGTTCGAAAAGTTACCGATTAATCTTTGTGTTTTGTTGCACTTGAAATAAAGATGAATAACTAACTTTTAGAGACCATAGGAAGCTTCCGATAGAGCGGAAGCACCACGTGACAAATAGCGACCAGTCACGTGACAACTAGCAGCCACTTTTCCGCAGCGCCCGCCGGCGCCAACTACAAATTCGTATAGCGCCGTGAATATAGCTCTTAAAATTTTTATTTTCCTTGTGAATTCGTTTTATGACTTCCTTTTCCCAACCAGGCTGTTTAAAAAAACTTTATTAGTCCTTTGCATGTGTCCTTTAAGAAGTGCTCGAGCTTCCTTAGGCTTCCTTGCTGGAAATCCTTTGTATTCCTGTTACTAACAAGTGCACCAAGTGAGACACTTCGGCCATTATTGAACACTTTGAATAAACAAATATGAATAGTTGGAAGATGTTACAAAGCAGTCTACATTGATAAAAATTCCTTCTTTCTGCATGTCAAGTTCGCTTGTGGCGTAATCTAAGATTACTACGACATACCAGTTAAGGAAAGTTGGTCTTCAAATGCGGACACCACACGCGAGCCACAGCGAGCTACAATGGGGAGCAGTGCCACGCTTGAGAAGCCCATCGAGGCACAGATGTTGTTTGGTCTAGCCACAGTTTACAAACTGGCCGCTGCAGCAAGAACAGCGGGACTGCGACTGCTCGCTTTTAACAATTCTGCAAAGCGGACACCTATGGCAGTTTTTCAGCTGAGATGTTCAAGTAACGGTGGTGTAACCCGTGCCAAAAATGAAATGGAGCATAGAGACCCACTTTATTCGGCTGGCGGATGGAGATTCTGCACACCGACGAGCTGAAGCACTAGCGAAGTCAGTGCGGACGACTGGTGCGCACTTGCTGCTGCTTGTCCCTCTACAGCCTGCAGGAAAAGGGGAGCGCATTATGCACAAAATGCAAACTGTTACGCAACACATTAGTAAAGTGAAAAGCACGCCAGAGGTTTTCAGACACGTTGCAAGCAATACAATAGGAAACTTTTGCCAAACAACTTTTCACCTTGGTAAGCTCTGTGCAGTCATGTTGCAGAGCAGTTTTCACCATTCACCTTATTAGATTACTCGTAGACAACGAGTTACTGGCATTTTAGGTGCTCCTAAAGCACAGAAGAAAAGAGAATGGCTGTGTTAACGAAAGAAGTCGAGAAGTCTGATCAAAGGCGTATGTGGGGCGAGTAAATCCACCCTTACTCTGTTCTCTTTCCCCTTTGGAGCTGCCTTGGTGGCGTCCTTGCCTGCGCTTGCGAATGATGCATTTTAGTTACACTGACGGCAGAGTTGCCGCGTGACAAGTCCTTCAGTAACGAGGCCAGTTTCCTATAATTACACGAACACACGCTGGTGGCGGAATATTATTTATTTGTTTCTTTAGTTACTTAGAATTACCCTCAAGGCCCCGAAGGGCATTACAGAGGGGAGTGCATGGTTAGTACAGTTCTGATTTTAGCGTTATCGGTGATGGTGACAATATCATCTGGAAGGCCATTCCAGTCTACAATAGCTTCTGGTAGAAGGGAATGTTGAAATGGTCTTGGGAAGGGTAATCTTGCACGAATGATCGAGTCTTGCAGAGATATAGCTGGGCTGGCTGAGGAGAGACTGTCGTAATGGTTCCGAATAGTACATTTTATGGAAAGGCAAAGACGGGAAATTCTGCGACGAACGGAAAGATCAGGAAGAGCTAATTGACATTTCATTGCAGTGACACAAGAAAAGCGAGACTAATTAGAAAAAATAAATCGAGCAGCACGATTCTGGACAGATTCGATTTGCGTTAGTTAAAAAAAGACTGATGTGGGTGCCAGATAGCTGAAGCATACTCTAGTTTAGGGCGAACAAGCATGGCGTAAAGGAGACGTTTAAGGATAGAAAAGGCAGAGTTGAAATTGCGACAAACAAAACCGAGTGAGCGGTTTGAGGATGATATTGTCTCGTCGACATGAACATTCCTGGATATATTAGTGGTTAAACGAACGCCTAGATATTTTTACTGTGTAGCAGTCAGAATGGTAGTGCCATTGAATGTTAACGAGTTTAAGGGCTGGAAGCAAGAATGTGTAAAGCAAAGGTGTGTGCATTTGCTAATGTTGAGACACATCTGCCATGTGTGACACACTGCTTCAAGAGCTTTTTTATATAACTTGCGATTCAAATAAAATGAAATTTACATGGCTTATTTGGCATTACAATCGGACTACAAATATGTACTTTGTTTTGAGGTAACCTAATTAGATTTATTAATATTGAAAATTTAATTTGCAATGATTATGGAAAGGATTAACGCAAATTAAAATACTGAGCTCAGAAAATAAACATAGATCAGTGAACTGAGAGGTATGTGCAATCCAATAAGGTATAAATGAAAGCTCTAGGATGATTTATAAATTACTTATGACACTTTTGAACCTTCCAGTTTCAAAATCATTTTTTGCCGGATGCCTAAAAGGCACCCACAAAAAGCCTGACAGCCTATTTAATATATTTGTAGCCCTCATTCAATATGTCGAAAATCCTTCAGGACAAGATGATAAGTGCTTGCCAAACTTCAAAAAACACATTTTTAAAAATGTGTTTTCTTAGTAAAATTTTGCTTCAAAGAGCAGTGTCTCCCCTTAAATGCCGTTCTGGAGTGCAACATGGTCATATGGGTTTTTTATTAGTCTATAAACAGCACAGGTCATCAGTGAAAAGATGAACAGAGGATGAGATGTGAAGAGGGAGATAATTAATGTAGATTAAAAAGAGCAAAGGCCCAAGCACAATTTCCTGTGGAACACCGGAAGAAACGGGAGAGAAAGAGGAGGATGTGCTGTTAGTGAAAACGAATTGAGAGCGATGAATAAGGAATGATTCAATCCACTTAGGAACATGAGGATCTAGTTTTAGGAAAGAAAGTTTAAGAAGAATGCGATTGTCCGGGACTTTAGCAAAAACTTTGGCGAAATTAAGCAAAACAGCGTCAGTAGGAAAGCCGGTGTCAAGATTTTTAAACAAATCGTTAGTTATAATAAGTAGTTGGGTCCCAATAGAAAGGCGTTTCCAGAGGCCATGCTGCACATTGGTGAAGAAATTGCAGGAATCCAGGAAGTTAATCAGGTGCCTGTAAATGACATGCTCGAGGATCTTGTAGAGGCAGGTGAGTGATATTGGCCTACTTACTAATTTTCCGGTCAGAGGGCAACACCCCTGTGTCCACGGACTGCTCAAATATCTTTGAGGTAAAGACCGGATGAAAATTTAGTGTTAGTGAGAGCCTTCGTAATGATTTCCTCTATGCCACATGATGGAGATATTTTGAGGGTTTCTATACCGCTGAAAACACCCTGAATGTTTATAACAATTGAATCCATTGGAAAATCATTCTCTATAACAGGAGAAATTCCAGTAATGGGTGTAGAAATAGTGAAAGCATCAGAAAACGCACTATTCAAATATTCACACATTCACTATTCAATATGTTATTACAAGAGCTATTCACTAGATTAATTTCAGAGTACAAATCTCCAAAATTTGCGAGAGTTGTTTATTAACATATTAGGTAGAGTTTGCAGAAAGAATGTCTGCTTAGAGTTATCAGAAATAATGTGTGCTAACACCCCTTTAACATAGTTTTTTATTCGGAAGAGCAAGTGGCAAGCTTAGGCCAAGTATTTCCTTTTTTAGCGCTCCTGAAACATCTTTTCTTTTTATGAGATAAACGATGAAGTGGATTATTGAACCACGGTTTAGACGTAGTAGTTCGGATTGTCGAGCACAGTATGGTAATTTTCAATAAGTTGAAAAAATTTTGTCTCAAGGCTTGCCAATTTTCATTAGCATTATGGCACTGGAAGGTTTCATTGAAATAAACAAAATAAAGCCTTCGCTGTTGGACACTTCAAATACACATACAAATCATATCTGGTTTCAGTTTGAGTCTAAGAACACTGCCTTCTAACTTAACTGGCTAAAGTAGGGTTGACCAAAATCAGCCTAACAACAATAATTGGGAGTGCACTACACTACAGTTCTCTTAACACCTACGCTTGCAAGTCGACGGAGTGCATCGACTGCCTCTCTCTGCACGAGCAGCATTTCCTGCTGAACTGCCAGCTGCTGCTGCTGGGTGGCCAGCAGACCCTGCTGTGTGGCCAGCAGTTCTCGCTGGACAGCCAGCTGGTCCTGCCGAATGGACAGCAGATCCCGTGCCGTATCAACTCCAGACCGTTCGTACCATTCGGTGGTAGGGGGCATGCCACTTGCGCAGGACGTTCCTCCTCTCCTCCCTTTGCCATGTCGCCTTCAGCCACAGACCCCTGCATAATATAATTCAACTATGTAACACGCCACAACGCTATACAGCCCTTCTAGTTATACCTGTGTCTAATAGTGTGCACCCTAAACTCAATATTATTTTTTTTTCGAATGTCACGGATTTATTGTCTCCGAGTGGGTCTAGAAATGTGCTGCAGCCCCGATATCCAAGCTTTCGTGGAAAACACCACGAGGCAATACATTCGCACCACATTGTTTTGTACATTAGTGTTCAATAAGGTAAAAAGCAACATGGTGTCTGCTCATGATCCAAGAGATTCACGGTACTTATCGAAGCTGCTGCTGCAGCCGTGAAGTCCCACAGCGGCGCGTCCACTGTCGGGGGCGCACGCCCGCCCCCTCGAGAGAAATCCGTCCCCACAAAAAATAATAATTTTTCTTGCTCCGCGTTTAGGGACGGCCCATCACTCGCGCCTCCACCGGCATACCTGCCAACCTGTGGACATTAAAATTCGTAAAACTCACGCAATTGCGGGGGGGGGGGGGGGGGGGGCTGTTTCGCAAGGTGGCAAGGCTTAATGTCAGCCTTGTCACCGTGCAAAACGCTTACGTTACACGTGCACGTGCTACAGAGTCCAAACTTCTCTCCTTTTTGGACGGCACAAAGCACTGGAATTCCGACGTGTAGGACTTCAAGAACACCTGAAAGTACCTCTTTTTAGGTTTGGAATTTGCCATTGCACCGCGAAGCCACCGCAACCAGAGGAATGCTATGATTACACGTGTAACAAACACAGACGCTGCACTTCTCGCCTCGAAACTGGCCGAAACAGAGGCCCAACCACGTCTGAACACGCCAAACCAACATGCGCCGCCAAACACACAAACAAAGGCTTTGGGCTTTGGATTGATTTTGGATATGTGGCCCCCGGATAGACGGATAGTAAAAACCACAACGCTGCCGTGGACGGCACCTGTCGCCCTCTTGTGGCAGTGTGAGGTACCGCCAGCAACGGCTTTACGAAAAAAATGTTAAAAAAAATAGAAATGAAAAAAGTATCTTTTTTTCGTAAAATTTGAAGCAAGATTCGTAAAATCGTAGAATTAGTCCCAATTCATACATTTTACAAAAAATTCGGAAGAGTTGGCAGGTTTGCACCGGTCTTCTGTTAGGGACACGAGACTCTCAGGTCGCGAGCCCACGTCTGGCATGCACGTGAGTTCCAGAAAGTTATTCTTTATGGCCGAAGGGCATTTAACTCTCAAACTATTACGCCCCATAGTGTATCTCGCTCCTCCTTGGTAACAAAGCTCTCTGTAGCAGTCCCCGAGAAAACTCGACTTTCACCGAGAAAGTCCAGGAGAAGCGCAAACTGTCGTGCCGAGACGTAGCGACCTAGCTTGCGCTTCTTAGCGTTGTCGGCCACAACTGTCTTCGCAACGTAAAGGGTTGTAGTTAACGTTGATTGTATTGCCGCGCGCAGGGTCACGGACTTCTAGTACTTTCTCGTTTATTCTTGCTCCGGACCTAACTTCTGTCGTTTATCCCTGCTTATGTTGTTCTAGAAAGTGCGTGTACATTCTCGCCGCGAGCGCGCTACGCTCGAACCTTCTCCGCCGAATCTTCGAGATAGTGACTCACTCTAGATAAGACGCCGCTCGCGACCTTGTCGAGTCAGTCTCGCCTCTGCGCTCGATCCTGCGGTTTCGCCGATATCGACGCCCGCGACGCTCTGCTGTTTTCTTTTGTACCCTTTTATTTTTGGCACAAGTTCGCCACATTAAACGTTTATTTCTTCTTGTTCATTTTCTGTTTTCTTTTGGTCACCACCCGTGACATTTTGGTGGAGGTGCTGGGTAGCAAGGGTCCTGATTCCGGGGGTAGGCCAAGGTTCCGGCGACATAGTCGGATCTCGGTCTGGTCTTCGTTGGGTTCTTGGGGGCTTGTGTTCGGACTTGCACTGCGAGAACTCGGGGGGGGGGGAGCGCTGCACGGGCATGCGGTTACCCCGCACCTCCACCAAAATGTCACGGGTGGTGACCAAAAGAAAACAGAAAATGAACAAGAAGAACGCATGGTCGGAAGGTAACGACCATGCTGGACGCCATGCTGCCCCATGAGCCATCTGACAACGAGAGCGACGACGCCCAGGCGGTTGCTCAACGCGCCGAAGAAGTCCGCCAGCTCGCCCGACTCATGATTCAAGACCAGCAACGCGTCGACGCCGGCCGCTACAACCTTCGTCGTAGGGACGTTCACTTCCAGCCCGGAGATAATGCCGCGCGCAGGGTCACGGACTTCTAGTACTTTCTCGTTTATTCTTGCTCCGGACCTAACTTCTGTCGTTTATCCCTGCTTATGTTGTTCTAGAAAGTGCGTGTACATAATGCCGCGCGCAGGGACACGGACTTCTAGTACTTTCTCGTTTATTCTTGCTCCGGACCTAACTTCTGTCGTTTATCCCTGCTTATGTTGTTCTAGAAAGTGCGTGTACATTCTCGCCGCGAGCGCGCTACGCTCGAACCTTCTCCGCCGAATCTTCGAGATAGTGACTCACTCTAGATAAGACGCCGCTCGCGACCTTGTCGAGTCAGTCTCGCCTCTGCGCTCGATCCTGCGGTTTCGCCGATATCGACGCCCGCGACGCTCTGCTGTTTTCTTTTGTACCCTTTTAATGTGGTGAACTTGTGCCAAAAATAAAAGGGTACAAAAGAAAACAGCAGAGCGTCGCGGGCGTCGATATCGGCGAAACCGCAGGATCGAGCGCAGAGGCGAGACTGACTCGACAAGGTCGCGAGCGGCGTCTTATCTAGAGTGAGTCACTATCTCGAAGATTCGGCGGAGAAGGTTCGAGCGTAGCGCGCTCGCGGCGAGAATGTACACGCACTTTCTAGAACAACATAAGCAGGGATAAACGACAGAAGTTAGGTCCGGAGCAAGAATAAACGAGAAAGTACTAGAAGTCCGTGACCCTGCGCGCGGCATTATCCCCCCCTTTAAAAGCGCATCGTCCCGATGCAGCACAAAACAAAAAAACAAAAAAAACAAAAAAACACAAATCCTTAACAAAACGGTAGCAAAATCGCGAGCCACAGTTCACAGTTCTCAGTTCACTCGTCGACAAGAGTAGAAAGTTCTATCGTTCGTAATACGGCTTCAGCCGGACGAGGTGCACCACCTCGGAACGCGCCCATCTGCAAGACGTCAGCCGCGACCCGAGGTGGTGCACGTCGTCCGGCTGAAGCCGTATTACGAACGATAGAACTTTCTACTCTTGTCGACGAGTGAACTGAGAACTGTGAACTGTGGCTCACGATTTTGCTACCGTTTTGTTAAGGATTTGTGTTTTTTTGTTTTTTTTTTGTTTTTTTGTTTTGTGCTGCATCGGGACGATGCGCTTTTAAAGGGGGGGATAATGCCGCGCGCAGGGTCACGGACTTCTAGTACTTTCTCGTTTATTCTTGCTCCGGACCTAACTTCTGTCGTTTATCCCTGCTTATGTTGTTCTAGAAAGTGCGTGTACATTCTCGCCGCGAGCGCGCTACGCTCGAACCTTCTCCGCCGAATCTTCGAGATAGTGACTCACTCTAGATAAGACGCCGCTCGCGACCTTGTCGAGTCAGTCTCGCCTCTGCGCTCGATCCTGCGGTTTCGCCGATATCGACGCCCGCGACGCTCTGCTGTTTTCTTTTGTACCCTTTTATTTTTGGCACAAGTTCGCCACATTAAACGTTTATTTCTTCTTGTTCATTTTCTGTTTTCTTTTGGTCACAACCCGTGACAGTATTCATTATTTCAGTACATTAGGTACTAATTCATGCAACCAGATTTCAGGAATATATTTTTTTTAATTTTGTCTCATGCTATTCATTTTGCCAACTTAAAAATAATATTTTTACTGTTATACTCACCGCGGTGTTTTGAGATTCTTAGTGGGGACACTTTAAGGGAAAAATCCCGATAGAGTTTCAACTCAGTCGTGCGTGTTGACCGACGTCACAATGGAGTTGGTTCGCCGGTGGAGTTTGCCAAAGATGGAGATGAAGCTGCTCCCATTGGCAATCCCACGAAGGAGATTCACCACTGCTTCTTTCAGCATAGACACACGGGCGATGAGGTCAGAGGGGATGCACCTACCGAAGAAGCTGCATCACAGAGGCTAGCCTCACCACGTCATGTCATGGCCCTGCTCTTTTCAGCATGTTATTTAATATATTGCGCCAGAAAGCCAGCGACATCAGTACCTGGGCTAGTTGGTGCCACTGATCTCTGTTGTAGTAAGCTGGATCACGGATCGAGGCTCGTCTTAATAGGGAGGAGTGGTGCCACCAGCGCCCATCACTTGACATTGGCTAACGCATAAAACTCTATGGGAAAGACAAAGAAAAGTGACGTTCCCCCGCTCGTAAACTGTTGTCGTCACTGAATCTTTTGGCTGCTGTCGGGAAGCCTGTCAAATAGCTAGTGCACAAACATTAAATCTGACAACCCTCGCGGTTGTTATATAGAAATGTTTTGTTGTCGAGAGTGACTCTACTGGGCAAAAAATGTAGAGCAGCTCACTGAGAAGAGAGTTACCTAGAGGTACCTCGGAGTCGGTGGCGGTTTCAATGAGTCGGGTTTAGCAGGTGACAAGCTTGAAGGCTCTGCTATGATTTCGCTCACTCCCGGAAAGACGCTGCCAATATGGAACTTTGTTGACGTTCAGCAACTTCTGGGCTCCCCCACGACGGCATTATTGACAGCAAGTTTATTTGTTCACTCCACCACGAGAGCAAGCTTGCCAGATCAGCCATGGGTGCTATAGCACAATATTTTAATGGGCATTCGAATGCTTGAGAAATCGCAATTCAACCTCCAAACACACAATAAAATTATTGCAGCACATCGTAAAATACATGCCTTCGAACACTGTGTAGAAGCTTTAATTTCCTTCTTTTGTGTGTTTCTCCCATAGACTTGCGTGTATACACGACTTGCATTGACGTCACATCAGCCACCATTGCTGCGGACCATGCTCCAGTGCCCGTACCTTCCGGAGCACACATTTAGGACCAATGAATTTCTTCCTCTCGGAGAACTTTGCGGAGAAGAACAGATTCGATGCTGCCAAAATGTATGTTCCAGAGGGTACGGGCACAGGAATGGTATGGAGCCATATGACGTCCCGTGCAAGGCACGTCTTGCTTGGTGCCAAGCAATGGCTGCCGGTGGCGCCACCGACAGACTTCCGATTTGAATCCAGCCTACTACAATAGAGACCAGTGGTTGGTCCACGCTTCAAGAAAATTGGTCTATGCGTAGGTTTACTCAGCTGCACAAATTTCCGTAGAACTATGGCAGCAGTTGAAGACACGTTTAGGGTTCCTGCCATATGACAATGTTGGATGCGCAAGAAGCAAATGCCCGTGGCTCAGAGTCCGGTAGAGGCAAATGTGCAGCCCTCCCCGTCGCAACCTCCGAGGCGGAGTTGCGGAATTGCACACAACTGCTTTTAACACTTCGACAAGTCGCGCGAGCGAGTTGCGTGAACTGCTCGTGCCGCAGAGCACGTGAGCTCGGCAGCTGTCCAGAGTGATGAGCGAAGATTGTGGAATCAGGGCTGCCGAAGCGGCATGTACAGCCGTTACGATCAGACAGGAGCACGTCGCTTTGAAGAAAGCAGGCCAGCAGATAAGTAAGGACGTGGTTGCACACTGCACAGTTCTGACGTCACCCGTGATAAAGTTTTCGTGTCATCGACCTCCAGACCAAGCGGGCAGAGCTATACGTAGAAACCATGGTGTAATACGCCACGTCCTGTCCAGTTCTCCCTTCTTTTTCGTCTCTGTTGTTTTGGTGTTTTACATCATGATGCAAAACCAACTAGCCCAACTAGCCATCCTTATACACCTTTCCAAAAAACACTCAACCCCAGGGGCAACAAACTGTTTTCGAGCCCAGTCACTGAGTTTGAGGCTAGACTCTCACCAGCGTCCCTCCTAACCCTAACCGAGTGGACTGTGATGTCAATAGGCGCAGCCTGTGTAGGCGCAGTTTCAAACACTGCTGGCGTATAAATTATCGTCGTTTCCCGCTATATTTTGTGTTTCATGCTACATGTATTTTCCCGAGAACATTGAGAAAGAATTGTCCCACATTTAAAAAAAAAAAAAAAACTAAACTATTTTTGTTGGGTACGCGCGCGACAGAACGAGTTCGATTGGAATGTATAGTTCTAGTTGTTTGTGTTTATTTCTTACGATAAGCTTTGACGGCGCCGCAGGATTCACCGCATGTGAAACGACAAAGCGCTTTGCTGTCAAAAATAAATTGCAACAGAAGAGGGCCGCAAGGCATGCATTTTTCATGCTCACAAATAACGTGTTTACCGATGGACAGGACACGGACATACAATTGAGGAAGTGGTAACATTCAAACAATATATCGTACGTACCACACGATGCAGCGTTATCCGAAAAGAATTTATTTGAGAAAGATCTCAAATATCACAGTCACAGTCGACGACAGTCACGCGACTGACCCGTTTCTCACCCCAACCCGGACAGCTATATTTGGAGACGACTGAGGATTCTACGCGGATTATCTCTGGGAGGGGGAAGAACAATGTTTGCAAAATCGCGTCGAGGGTCGTTCGACGTCCTTCACCTCCTTCCTTTCCCGTGAATGTCGAGCAGAAAAGCTTGAATGGCAGGTACTTACCAGCCTTATTTATCACAGTGGAAGATAACACAAAAAGGGTACGCAGCACGCATAAAAAAAATTAAGTGGAAACTTTCAAGAGGGGCGAGAAAACATTGAATGCAAAACCGCAAAAACATAGGTAGAGAACCACGCCGAGCGGGTCTTCACAGTCCCAGAGGGTGGCAGAAAATTTCTAGCTGATAGAGGGCGCGAGAGTCGCACCAGCCGCATCAGCATCAGCAACATGGCAGTGGCCTAGGAGCGTTTTTTGGAAAGGTGTATACATAGAAAGAGTTTGGCCATTCATTGGAAAGTATAGGAAGCAAAGGAAGAGGCGCCATTGGCCGAAAGCGGGCTGGTCGTGTCCCAGGGCGTCTTCACAGATTTGAATGTGGCCAGCCAGAAGCCGCAAATAATACCCTGGCAGTGGTCGCGAGAAACAAAATTAATAAGTGCGTCGGACTAACCCTTGGCGAGTGAAAACATGATGCATGTGATTGTACTATCACGGTCATACAAAATCAATATCTAGGAGAACGGTCGACATGATCTGTATGCCAGGCGTCTGAGCCACGTCCGAGCGGTCAGACTCTGTCCGAGCAAAACGGAGTTCGAGCGGGACATTCGATTCTTACACCTTTTTGCACGATCATAATCGAAGCATCACGTAGACTATATTTTCAGCCATAAACAGTTACTCTATTAAACTCTTTGGCACAGGTTAAAATTTTTCGCGCTAACACTGCTAGGCGATTATTTGCGGCTTCTGGTTGGCGTGTCAAGCCTTCTATCTGCGTCTCGTACACGCCCTGGCTCTGCCCGCTTTTCCTATTGACCAAAGTCTCGACGACAGCGCTACCAAGGTCGCACGAACGGAAGAGGCCGGCTCTCCGAAGCGCGGCTGCTCGTGGCTTCGTTTGGCTTCGCACGAAACCGAGTGCGAATGAAACGCAAGACATTCTTCTCGCGGCAAGTGCGTGGTTTGAGTGCTGCGGAAGCCACGCTAACGTCGATTGTCCGGTAGATCAGCGCCTTATCACGGCGTGAAACAGCAGGTCAGCGAGGCTAGCATGTGCCTTCTGCCACACGTGAGTAGACCCACTGACCTGCTGTTTCACGCCGCGATAAAGCGCTGATCCACGGGACAATCGACGTTCGCGCGATATCGTTGGAAAATCTGGAGGCTGTGCCACAAAACAGCTGACGCCGTGTTTAAAACCTATGGGAGCACAATAGTGGAAGTCGCCCTTGTGCAAGATGAAACGAAATACAGCGGCTATTTACGGCATACAGCACACGCTGTCAGGATGTCACGACAAAGAATTTCGGCCCAATGGCTGGGGGAGCCAGTTTTTCGGTGCCTACCTTGTGATGTGAAAGTGTCGCCCTTCGGCCAGTCTTGTCTCGGAGTCGGGGTGTGTCGTAAAGCTGGTGTCTACGACGTGGAACTAGAAGGCCTATGAACTGTGCGAGTAGAACGTCGCACGACTACGCAGGAACAATACAAAATAACTGCGACCGCGAAATGCGAAGCATGGTGCGAAGCGTCGATTGCCGCGGGCACGGCGAAAGACAGCCAGACAGCTACGACACTGGATTGGATTGAAAGCCGCAAGTCTGGTGTTTCACAACAAACCGTTGCTAGGGGTGTTGCTAAGGGCGAATACACCATCGTTCAAAAATTCGACGTAGAACATAAACGTCTAAAAAAAAATACACTACTTTTATAAAATTCCAGCATGCAGCAGTCCGCATTTCGCACCCATGGAACTAGTTAGCCAGGGAAGATTGTGGCATGGTTTCGGTTTCGATTGTCAGGTTGACAAGAGTTCATACGCAGAGCAGGCCGTCTACATCACCATGACTCTTGTGACTTGGCAGCGGGTCAGGTGCCCCAACCAAGGGGCTGGCTGGCATCCTGACAGGAGCTGCGAGAGTTTCACAAAACAGCGTTCCTGCAATTATTAAAATAAACAAATGTTACGTGCGTGCTTGACCCAACATATGAGAAACCTAGGAGAGCTGTGAGTATTCAAATATATATCTCCTAATGCCATGCACAAATGTCTTGCATGAACCATGTGCAAAACTTTCATTTTGTTTCTTGAGTTCTTAATGGTTGGAATGAAAATGCAAATTGTGATGTTGAGCTATTCGCCTCGAGATCGAACCGTGCCGCCACTGTGCGGCCGAAATTGGAAACGCGCGAAAGCGGGGATACCGCCGTGCGTCGTCTGCTACGGGCGCACGCTCAGAAGCATGGACCTCGACGACGCAAGCCCGTTTCCGGCTGAGCTTGATATTCCTTATTAAATTCTTTATGTTTTTGTTGCCGTTTCTTCTTACTAAAGGTTGTGTTGTATCGTTTGCCATGCGTAGAAATTCAGCAAAGCGATTATTATTATTATTATTAAGCTTCCATAATCTTAGTGTGTTGTTTTTTATACAATCGCTGGTCCCACGTATTTTTGTTATCTCGCACAAACCGTGGCTTTCATAAAGCATTGAATGTTGAGTGGGTTTGTGGTTTGATTAGAAAATTAACCCGACTAATCGCTATCCTTAAAATAGACTAATCAATTAATCCGTACGTTGATTTTTTCCCGGTCATATTGCGTGAAAGATGTTAAAACTACATATTTTGTACTGGTTTTACTATGTCACAAATGGCATATTGCATTCCCATTCTAGACTTCACGCTGTGAGTCCTACATAAATATGATCACGGGAAGCCTTTTAAAATAAAGTATTTCTTAAGTTATTATTTAAACAGTATAATCACCCTCGGCGAAATGACAAGCACGCTGAAGTGGTTTACCGTGCAAGCTAGTGTCACAAAAGAAATAAAGACGTCAAAAATATTGAAGCCGGCATATTTTACTGCTTGCTGACTTTCTCCAGTACTAGACTCCAATTGAATGGGAAAAAAAAAATTAAAGCATTACTTGAATAATCTAAAAGTTAATCGACGAACTGCCCAGTCCCGATATAGGTTAGGAGAGGGCGGAGGGAGATCGGAAAATCTCGTGAAGGTCGCTAGCCCTCATCAGTAAAAGAGTATCACTGCGGCCGATGCTGTCTGTGTCGTGGTGCGCGTCGTTTGTTGGGGTTGCAGAGTCTACTGTGTTTGAATACAAGATTATTTAGCCAGAAATGTATAGTATTAGCCTCTTGACATCCGCGGCCCTCACCAAGAAAATTGAAGGGGGTGAACCCACACTACCGAGAAAAGCATTTAATAGCAGGAACATTGTTGCGTTGCTCGGTTACACTCGTTTATTACAGTCACGGCAGATATATTAGAACAGTTTGTTTCACTTGTTTCAGTTGTCCTGCCAACCGTGCAGTTTGCAGATTTTAACTAGAAGAGACACTCACTCCTCATCGCAACGCAGTAGATTTGTTCAGACTCCAACCGTGCAGTTTGCAGATTTTAACTAGAAGAGACACTCACTCCTCATCGCAACGCAGTAGATTTGTTCAGACTCCAAAAAATTTACCCACACTATGGCACAGTAAAAGGGCAGAGGAACTCAATAGCATGGTAATTTCTAATACAACGCTAGCTTATCTTCATTCTGAATATTTATATTACTGCAAAAGCTTGACGTTAAAAAAAGCATAGAAGCTGCGATTTCACAGCCCACAGTACCAGTATTATGTTAACTGGGTCGGACTTTATTTTTATTTTTTTTTTATTTCCACGTTGATGAACCGATACATCCATTTTAAAAGAAACAAATATTTAACATAAATATTCCAGTTCAGCCGGAGACAGGCATCAGTCGTGGTGATCCATGCTCTCCAAAGTCTGCCTAGAGCAGACGACGCACCCACAGAAGCGATTATATAAATTTGGGCCGCACGCTGGTAACACGATTCGATCTTCACTGAAGCACCGAACAGTACTGCATCTTTTTCCGCTAGAATTGTTTTCCCACCGATAGTATGCGACAAAATAAACGGAAGAATCTACGCCGTCTCGCGCGCCGACGTGGAGAGCCTATGGGGCGGCCGTTCTCCTATCCCCGCTTTGATGATGATGATAGCGCGACCGTAGCGCCACCTCTAGGTCGATCTCGAGGCGAATAGCGTACAGCAAACTGAGCAGGCGCAGATCAACATATTGGCATGACACTGCAACGTACAACAGCATGTTCTTGCCCGGTATGTTCAATAGAACCTGGGACGGAGCTTGATGGTACTTATATCTCAACTAGAAAAGGAAAATATTAAGAAGAAATTAGAAATTAAGAGGGAGCGCTCCTCCAAGCCCCATAGAGAATACACGCGATTTTCTGCCATTTTACGAAAATTCTCATTTAATAACCGTTACACCGATTTTTTCACACTTTTTTGCTATAAAAAGATTGATTCTTCGTCCAACTATCCCACAGAGCATATTTTTCAAGGTATATGCACATGGGTAGCGAAGCTTCGGCCAAAAAGCGGTTCAAAACAAATCGCCAGCGACATCGACCTGGAGGGTCACGTGAAGGATGCGATTGAAGCGCGACTAGGAGAGGAGGGGACAAACGTTATTAAAATTAATTAGTTTGTGACTAGAAGTATAATCATTGGTATTTTTAAACAAGCTAAATATAATTATTAGGCAATATCAATCATATTTAACGCGCTACAAAATTCAAAACTGCTTTTGTTTTTGCTAATATTATGCATACTTCTTATTAGCGTCCTCTGTACGCCAGTAGCAAAAAGGATATTTGCAGTTTTTTTGTAGACCTCGTGGGCGCGCGGAAAGGCAGTCTGCTGACGTCCGTCTGCTTGCTTGTGTTTGGGCCTCCACGTGCTCTTCGCTTTTAATTGTTTTAGCGGCAGTTAACACCGTTTCGGGAGTTTTGTTGTTTGCTCGGGCGTGATTAGCCCAGTTACCTGCGCGGGAACTCGGCTGTCGTATGCTTGGATCTTGGACGCTACTGCGCCAGAGGGGCTCAACGCCTTTCGCGATGATGAGCACAGCGCGATACGCAAAGAAACGGTGCTCCGTGGAAATGTGTGAAAGCAATACCCGCACGGCTGGCATCTCGCTGCACCGGTTTTCCCTCGTCGAAGGTGAGACTTCGCTACTGTCAGTAACATGCTTGCTGTGTGATGTCTCCTCTTAACTCTTGTTAGCTTTACCTAAAACTATTAGGGTTGTCTGGATGTGCACAAGAAACTACACCTGAAGGCGTAATATGTTATATTAGGAATGTTTTAAGTTCGAAATCACTCTGACTTCGCAGCGTTGTATGCCGTCATTATAAAAGTGCCCACGATATTAAAATTTACCTGTACCGGACTGGCTCTGAGGAGCCTAGTGTCGTGATCATCGGCGTGGTTATCAGTGGTACAACACAGACCTATAATAGGGCATCTGTGCGTAAGACTCGTGTTTTTACTCTTCATCATGTACACAGAGCAGTGATGTCATGCATTTGTTAAGGTCCTTGCACTGATTTGCTTTGCTTTGTGGACATTTTGGCTACATTTTCTTTTCGTAAGTATTCACGGCACCCTCATAGCACCATGCCTTATCTGCAGGCGCGAAGCCTGGGTTCGGTTCTGCAACAACGGAAGTCTACAGGGGAAGACTCCATGGCAGCTACGAGACAGGGTATAGTTTGCCCCTTACATTTCAAGTAGTCAGCTCTTCTGCGCCCTGGACACCTCCGTCACAATGCGTTGCCAAGTGTGGTAAGCAGACCAATAAACCTTCCGTGCACTTTGTGACTAAGCATGGTTAACCCGCTCTTAAAAGTGGTTACCACATGGGGTTGAAATATTGCTTTTGTGGGCTCATTACATTTTTATATTATTTGCAGGGACGACACATGGCGACATTTCCAGCAAAAGCTCTCCAGGTTCAGCAGTTTTGCATGGTGAGCTTTTTCACTGAAACTAACATAAAGTGGCAGCAACTGCCAGCACCACTGCATTACCTCATGGTCCTCATGACTTGAGCATTTTGCAAAAGAACTAGGTGAGATTAGCTGGGAAAAGTTGGTTGAACATGGACAGAGGTACTGCTAGAAGTTCATTTCAGGCCCGTTTATAATGACATGTTTTACTTGAGGTGACATAATCAACGTCACAGAGCATCTTTTGCCTTGCCAACACCCAGTCTTCCATAATAAAGCTGCCCATGAAAGAAAGTGATTTACATTTTGTGTTAAAATAGGCGAATTCACCATATATTTGCAGAGGTGAGTTTGATACCCTCATTAAGCTACACATGCTTCGGCAGTTCAGACTCACGGAGCTTCTGTAGTCACCCTGATGAACAGTCTTCCGAAATTAAACTTTCGTGGGAACAAGGTGATTTTCTTTGTCGTGTGTTAGAATAGACACATAGGAAGGAACTCAACTACTATTCCATGGCCAACTTCACGCTAAACTTGCAGAGAGGA